TTTTCATACAGAGACCAGCGGTTCTCTTTGTAAAAAGGAAGGGTTCACACACAGGTTACGTTCTTGTGGTGGACTGCTAGCTTGGGGCCTTGGTATGTTGTGGGAACTCGGTGGTTATGGCTTGTGAAACAGTGTTAAACGTTTAATTGGACACTTTCAAATATTTCGTTTTAATTAAATTTTTAATTAGGTGTAATATGTATTTATGTTAGCTTTTTATCTAATCTGTCAGCCGCCCTGAGTCCGAAAGGAGAAGGGCGGGATATAAATGCAATTAATAATAATAATAATAATAATAATAATAATAATAATAATAATAATAATAATAATAATAATAATAATAAGGGAGAATATTTGTAGCCCATTTGTAGTTGGTATGAGGGGTCCTTGATGCTCTCTGAGCTTGCTTGTTTTCTTGCAGACGTTTCCTTACCCAACTAGGTAACATCATCAGTGCTAGACGGGAGTGGGATTTGAAGAATGGAGGAGGAGGAAGAGGAAAAGGAGGAGGACTGTGGGGGTCCTTAGTGCTCTCCAAGCTTGCTTGTTTTCTTGCAGATGTTTCATTATCCAAAGTAGGTAACATCATCAGTGCTAGTTACCTAGTTTGGGTAATGAAACGCCTGCGAGAAAACAAGCAAGCTCAGAGAGCACCAAAGGCCCCTTCAGAGATAAAGGTTTAACATGTTGCGTGAACTTAGCCAATGATGGTTTGTTTAAGAAATCATGCTTAAATCAAGCCCTACCTGAACGGGCTGCGAGATGCTCAAAGGTCAAATAAGGAATTCTGAAATAGATCTCTAAATATTGGTGAAAGGATGGAATATCTTTGAAGGATTTAGAAGGTTAGTTCCAGTTTTTTTAGTAATTGAATATCTGGATCCTGTAGTCTGTATATCCTAGAATTTGAGAAAATGGCTTTCCCCTATAACTTACTGATTAAGTACGGCAAGTGGCAAAAAGTATTAGTATTTGCAGATGTTAATTTATAGATTAAGTTTCAGATTAAAACATATCACGATAATTCAAACAAACATTTGTGACCAGGTGATCTAGATGTTTATTAACTTAGGTGACTTAATTTTTTAGTAACTGAATATCTGGATCCTGGTCTGAATATCCTATTATTTGAGAAAATGCTGAAGCTATGACTTTCCTCTATAAGCTATTGGTTATGTATGGCAAGTAGCAAAAAAATATTAGCATTTGCAGATGCTAATTTATAGTTTTAGTTCCAGATTTAAACATGTTACGATAATTCAAACAAAAGTTTGTGATCAGGTGATCTAGATATTTACTAACTTAGATGCTAGAAAAGCTTGCTCTCTTTCTCTCTCTTTTTAAACTCCAAAACTGCACTTGGCTTGGATGATTCTGCCAAAAGAAGACATGTCTTCCGTCTTCCGACAGCAACCCAGCTAAGTTTATCCCCTGTTAAACAGCACACATTTTCTCATCCTTGATCTTGGGTGGCCTGATTTTGGTGTGGTGAAAATACTGTAACATTAAAAAAAAAGTTATGCATATTTAATTTAGAAAAAGAAAAAAAAATCTCCAACCAATCAGGATATAATACAAGAGTTGCTTGATAGCGAGATGGGCAGCATATAAATTTAATATAGAATAGAATAGAATAGAATAGAAGCTGGAAGGGACCTTGGAGGTCTTCTAGTCCAGCCCCCCGCTTAAGCAGGAGAACCTACACCATCTCAGACAGGTGATTGTCTAGTCTCTTCTTAAAAGTCTCCAGTGATGGAGCGCCCACGATTTCTGGGGGTAAGCTGTTCCACTGGTTGATTGTCCTCACTGTCAGGAAGTTTCTCGTTAAATCCAGGTTGCTTCTCTCCTTGATAAATAAATACATTAAATAAATAAACAAAATAAGTGCAATGCACAGTACACCTCCTTTTAAAAGGCAAGCCTCTGTTTGCTTCCTGTTAATGCAGGCAGGTGAACTAGCCTTCTGAAACCACGTGAAAATCCTATGCAGCAACTATTACTAATGAATGCACACACACACAGAGAGAGATCAGGCTGATAAAATTGCATAGATGGGGCAATTTCGAAAGCAATGCTCTAGGAATCCTGTCTCTTCTGCACTGTTTAGGTTTGATGACTTCTACAAAAGTCAGCAGTCATGCCAGGCCTGAGCCAATTCGTTACACAAAGTCAGTCAGTTTGGCCTGCCCTCTGCTTGAGAAGTTCCCTTCAAAATCTCAACCACGGAAAACTGGAGCAATCCAACCGCTTTTTTTTTCTACGTACACCTAGTCCTCGCTTAGCGGCTCTTCACTTTGTGACCAGTCTTTGCATGGACAATCTTTGCAGGTCTGCTAAGCAAAGCAAAGCTGAAACAAGATCATCAGCCCAGTTGCGGTTTCTCTTAGCCACTGCTTTGCTTAACGACCAAATGGCTGGTTTTCGATTGTGGTTACGAACCGAGGAACACATGTAGGGAGAAATGCTGAGGCACACGTGGAACGGTGTCTAAAGCGAGGGATCCCAGATCTCCTCCCTCAAGAGATCCCAGTGGTTTGAGACACTTAAAACACCAATGGGGAAAAAAAAAAAGAGCGCCTTGTTTACAATGAGGTGGCCAACTATTAAACCACAATCACAACTAGTAATTTGCAAGGGATTACAGTGTAATCCTGTACATCTCTATTCAGAAGTAGGTCTCATCAAATCCAAGGACTCGTCCGCCAGCGAGTTAAAAGGCTTCATTAACTGAATCAAATCCGAATGCTTAAAGACAAACCTCTCAAGGATTGCCAGGTTTCTGGCAAGTGCTATCACCAGAGAAGGCAGCTTAAATGTTTGATCACCGAGGTCATATCAGCGGCAAAAAACACACCATCGATATTCTGAAGTGCTCGGTTGCCTTAACTGTAGACCTGCCAACCCGAGTTTGGGATGTTTGGTTTGTAAACAAATGCAGACTCCTAGAAACAACTTGGGAAACAAGGCGTAACTTTGGCCAACTCTGCCTGCAAATACATTTATTTTTATTTTATTTATTTATTTTATTTGATTTATATCCCGCCCTTCTCCCAACGGGCGGGCTGGGGAATTCTGGGAGTTGAAGTCCACAGGTCTTAAAGTGGCCAAGGTTGGGGACCCCTGCATTATTCGCTTGGGCTGGCTGTGTATTGTGTGAACCAAGCCATTTGTGATGTGTAAACGGTGACGAATAGCTTTGTGCATCGCTCGGGTCCGACTCAATAAATCATCGCTCGTTTAACGACGATGTGAGATCCCAAAGGTGCATTTTTCCACCAGGCAACTGGACTTTTTTTTTTGCTGTTCTTTGAAGACGTTTCGCTTCTCATCCAAGTAGCTTCTTCAGCTTCTTGGGTGACAAGCCAAATGTCTTCAGACAAAAACAAAGGAACTCCAGTTATCTCGTGAAAAAGCATCTTTGGCACCACCACGACCTGGAAGACTGAGAATCTCCATAGACATTTAGCAAGGATGTGGGGGTATCCCTCGGAATTGCAGTAAGATCCAGTGCATGAAGCCGCCTCTGCCTCTAAAACACTTTCTGGGGTTACAAGGTGGTGCAAGGATTCATAAGTTAATTCTCTTTTCTGTTCAATTTCGGTTCCCAGCCAGAAGTGGCTTATTCGGTCCGATCCCAAAGGTGCTTCCCCCCCCCCCCACGAGACAACTGGACTTTGTTTTTCTTTGAAGACGTTTCGCTTCTCACCCAAGAAGCTTCTTCAGCTCCGACTAAACGGTGGGGAACGGGTGCGATCCCAGCTTCCTTCTCCCCCCTTCTGCAACGCTCAGCCTTTCCCCAGACTGGATAGGACTACAACTCCCATCGTTTTTAACACCAGTGGGGATGCTGTCGGTCGCAGCCCAACCCATCCGAAGCGCGGGACCTCAACAGCCCTGTCCTACCTCGCGGGGTGGTCGTGCACAGCCCTCCCACCCTTGCAAGTGTCCCCGCGACCGTGCTTGGGGCATCCTCTTCCCTTCAGCCCATTTGCATGGGCATCTGGAATCTAGAATAGAGTAGAGCTGGAAGGGACCTTGGAGGTCTTCTAGTCCAGCCCCCTGCTCAAGCAGAAGAACCTTCCCAGAAGCTCCCCTCCCCAGCCCCCGTTTTGCAATTCCCGGAGGAGGATGGGGGGGGAAGGAAAAAAAAAAAGAAGGAAAAAAAAAAAGCGGAGGGAGACCAGGAGGCGACGGCGCCGCCTTTTCCCGGGGCGGCACGTGTCCGCTTTCGCCCGCCCGCTCGACTCCCGCCAATCAGCGCCCGCCCGCGTCGCTTCTTCTTTTCTTTTTTCTTTTTCGGGCGGGGCGGGGCGGAGGAGGCAGGAAGGGAAAAAGGAAGAGCCGCGCGGCGGGGGGCGGAGAATTGAGCGGAGACGCGGAAAAGCAGCGGCGGCGGCGGCGGCGGCGGCGGCTTCTCCGGCGCGAGACCCCCCAGCCCTTCCTACCTCCTTCCCTCCCTCCCTCCGCGGCGGCGTCGGCGTCGTCAGGTGAGCGAAGTGCGCCTGCGTGGAGCCAGGTTTTTTTTTTTTTTTCCCCTGGCTGGCTTGCGGTCTGCTACTCTTCGCCTTGCTCCCCCCGCCCCCCGCCGTCGTTCCAAGAAGGGCCTTGGGAACCTCCGTTTCCCACTTCCTTTCACTTTCTCCTTTGCACAGCCCCCCCTTTCCAACACGCCCCTCCCCCCGCACGCCCCTCCCCCTTGCATGCACGAGCCCGGACGCCCCTGCAGCCGCGGATCCTCCTACACGTGTGCATGCCCAAACCTAGACCCAACTCTTCTTCCTCCTCCCCCCCTTCCTGTACCCCGCTCATTTGCAGGAGGTAAGGAAGGTTTGGGGGGGGCGGCGGGGGCGGAGAAAAGAGGGGAGGGGAAAGCCCAGGCTCCTCTCCCCCTCTTGCACCCCATAAATGCAACTAAGTCTGGAGCTGGGCAAGCGGCGCTGATTAGGATCTCGCCTAAATCCGTGCTGAGCCGCTTGGCTAGCTAGAGATGGTATTTTCGGCGCAAGCAAGAGTGAGTTGAAACGATTTGGGCTGGGGGGAAAAAAAAATTCTTTCTAACAGTGCAGTAAAACTATTTGTAGCTGATAGACCCCCTTGGTGTATTTCGGTTTTGGGCATCCAGAAGCAAGGAGAAAGGGTCTGAAATGGTATAGACTGGCTTTCCTGCCTGAGCAGGGGGTTGGACTAGAGGACCTCCAAGGTTCCTTACAACTCTTGTTATTCTATTCTATTCTATTCTATTCTATTCTACATTCCATATTCTATTCTATTCTATTCTATTCTATTCTATTCTATTCTATTCTATTCTATTCTATTCTATTCTACAATCTGTCTATTCTATTCTATTCTACATTCCATATTCTATTCTATTCTATTCTATTCTACATTCCATATTCTATTCTATTCTATTCTATTCTATATTCCATATTCTATTCTATTCTATTCTATTCTACAATCTGTCTCTTCTCTTCTCTTCTCTTCTATTCTACAATCTGTCCTATTCTATTCTATTCTATTCTATTCTATTCTATTCTATTCTATTCTATTCTATTCTACAATCTGTCTATTCTATTCTATTCTATTCTACATTCCATATTCTATTCTATTCTATTCTATTCTATTCTATTCTATTCTATTCTATTCTATTCTACATTCCATATTCTATTCTATTCTATTCTATTCTACATTCTATATTCTATTCTATTCTAATGCAACAGCTGGGATGGCTTAAGGGGGTGTCGTGCGAAGGCAGGCGCAGTGGGGTTATTGTAAGGTGTTAATACAGCTTGTGAAATTATACTATTTCTTGACTCTTGGGCTTGAGGAAGTTTGTGAATTCTCAACCTTTAGAAACTTGTGCAAAGAGGGAGATCAACTGCTGCCTACAGGGATGTCAGATTCCAGGCCAGGAAAGATAAGGGGATAGGTTGTTGTTATAGTTGGGCCTGCACACATCACAAATAAAGAAAATGTTTATATGAGGGGGGGGTTGATTTGGATTGAGCTGTTGTTTTTTTTAGAGTCTTCTTGGAAGGAAGATCAGAGGAGAGAGAAAAGGATGGCCGGTGCCAAGGTCACTTTTTAAACATGAAGGGCCAAGTGAGGGGTTTTTTTTTCCCCTGATCAAAACCTGAAGGAAGTGGGAAGGGGAGGGGAGGAGTTCCAACTGCAAAGTTCACCCATGCCGTGGGATGAGTTGCCTTTGCCTCGGTTTCTCTGGACGAAGAAGTTATCCTCAGAGTTCAGTTCTGATAAATAGCCTTCTTTAAGAAGCTGGAGGACAAGGTGTAAAGTTGAAGGTGAAATGGGGAAACCAAACAAAGGGGCAAACTCTTCCCATCTCTTCCCAACTTCTTTGAGGGCTAGGAAGAGACCTCTCTGAACTTTGAGGACTGGGGAAAACCAACTAAGGGGCAAGGAGAGCTAGAACCAATTTCTCCCCTCTTTTGCAGCCAGAAAAATAACGTGTGTTTGGAGAGGCGTAAGAGCATCACACACCTGTAAAAGGAAGCCTCAGATTGAGAAAAGATACATAAGGGAGGTCAGAGTTATTTTCACAGAGAGATTCACTTAGACCAGGGGTAGTCAACCTTGGCTCTTTTATGACTCGTGGACTTCAACTCCCAGAATTCCTGAGCCAGCTAAGCTGGCTCAGGAATTCTGGGAATTGAAGTCCACGAGTCATAAAAGAGCCAAGGTTGACTACCCCTGACTTAGACCCAGCAAAAGCCTAAGTGGACCTCAGTAGAGTAAGGTTGGGTGTAAGGACCAGGTTCCCCCCTCCAATGTTCTGGAGCAAAGTGATAATGAATCTAAATGGATGGGGGAGTTTCTTTCTCCTTCATTATTTCCCCCCCCCAAGTTCCTTAACCCTTTATTCTCAGTCTTTTAAGATCGACCTTTCAGTGGTTGTTTCCTGTGAGAAATAGCCCCATTGTTTTCAGAGGGGTCTACAAACAGCGTTAGAGATTGTCCCAAGTTGCCAATCTCTATAATAAGGGATGGTCACTTTCATTAGATTGAAAGGAGAAGCACAGGATGGCAGCCTGCTCTCCGATGAGGCCGCAGGTTGCCATCCTCAGCTTCTCCTTTCAACCTTATGAAAGTGGCCATCCCTTATTACAGAGGTCCCCAACCTTTTGGACACCAGGGACCGGTTCCGTGGAGAGAGGTTTTTCTGCAGACCGGAGGGTGCGTGGTTTTGTGCGCTGCCTGCATCCCGTGGATGGGGCTCTGCTTGTTTGTGCGGCCCGGTTGCTGACATGCCGCGGCCCGGTACTGGTCCACAGACCCGGGGGTTGGGGACCCGTGCCTTATTACAAAGGTGGGGAAGGAAGAACTTTTTTTCAAGGCGACAATTCAGATCTGATCTGGGACGTGGCAAAAGATGCTGTTCTCGGTCCCCAACTAATAAACAAGGTGACGGAAGTGAACTGAATCTTAAATAAGTTGTTGTTGTCCTCAGGTGCCCTGCCCTGGGAGCGGATGAGTCAGTCAGGTGACTAACATCCGTGAAGCACTTAGCCATGGACCTGCTGGAGAGTTTTGTTTGCAGCAAGCAACCTCAGCTCTGCTGGGCAGGGCGAGCGATTCCTAAGTGTTTAGGCCCTGCTGTCGTTTCTACTCATTCTCTTTCACAGAAGTCTAGAACTGGAAGAGGTTCACCAAGTTTCACCTCCTGTTCCTTGTAAGAATCCAAACGGAAATGAGGGCTATCTTCTAGACTCCTCTTGAACAGGTCCAAGGAAAGGAAGGCCCACTACGGGTGGTCCTTGACTTACAACAGTTCATTTAGTGACTCTTCAAAGTTACAACGGCACTGAAAAAAGTGACTTATTATGACTGTTTTTTCATACTTGCAACCGTCGCCGTATCCCCGTGGTCACATGATCAGAATTCAGATGCTTGGCAACTGACTCATATTTACGCCAGATGTAGGGTCCCGGGGTCAGGTGATCCCCTTTTGCGACCTTCTTACAAGTAAAGTCAATGAGGAATCCAGATTCGCTTAACAACGGTGTTACTGATTCACTTAACAACTGTAGCACCAAAGGTTGTAAAAATGGGGCAAAATGCATTTAACAAATTGCTTCACTTGTCAGCAAAAATTGCGGGCTCAATTGTAAGTCACAGACTACCTGCATCTAACTGTGCAGGTTAACTCTGCCCACAGCCAGAAGTTCGAGTCTCACCTGCTCAAGGTTGACTCAGCTTTCCATCCTTCCGAGGTCAGTAAAATGAGGACCCAGATTGTTGGGGGCAAATATGCTGACTCTGTAAACTGCTTAGAGAGGGTTGTAAAGTACTGTGAAGCGGTATATAAATCGTGCTGTTGGCTATTGCTATCTGGGCCAAGCTGAAGGTTTTTCTAACTCTTGAGATTCTGACATTGATTGCTCTCTATCTCTTCTCATCCAGCATGTGGGACCTTGGTTAACCTGCTTATGATTGCACGTATAGTAGTCCTTGACTTAGGGCGACAATTGGAACCAGAATTTTCATTGCTAAGCTGTTAAGTGAATCACACCCTATTTTATGACCTTTTTTCACCCCACAATTAAGCAAATCACTGCGGTTGTTAAATGAAGCAAGAGTTTCTTCAGCAAAGTTGGCTTCCCCTATTGACTTTGCTTGTCAGAAGCCAGCTGGACAAGGTGCAAAATGGCAATTATGAGATCCTGCAGCTGGTGTAAACATGGCCCGAATTTTGATCACGTGACCATGGAGGGGGTCCTGTGTTGTAAGTGTGAGAACCGCTTATAAGTTTTTTTCAGTGCCATTGTAACTTTGAACGGTCGCTAAACTAATAGTGGTAAGTTGAGGATTACCTGTGTTATAATCAATTAAATTTGATTATGCCCATTTCAGTGGGATTGCTTCCTCATGTCTGCTCTCTTATTTTATTTTTTATGTATTTTTATTTTGATGTATACCTGGGATTGCAGACTCCACATCCAGAATTATGTCTCTGTTATTTTTTTGAATCATATCTTGAGAAGTTTATTTTTGCTGTTGCAAGCCTCTGGATTATATGGCGATGATTATGATAGTCTTTTGCAACGATAAGGTTCTGAGGTACCTTAAAAACACGCTAATTTATATTTGCATAAGCATTTGTAGGCCATCAGGTAATATGCAAAGTCTATGTTGTTGTTGTTTTCTCTGCGGGACTATAGCCCCAGTGTTAACAGTAGACAATGTTTCGATTCACACATTGCACTAATTCTGTAATGCGTTTGATTTAGGCTTAGCATATTGTATGAATCCAGCCATTGTGGGTGGCGAAGTAAAATTTATAGCTTGCGCAAAGTAACCAATTGTGTCTTATCAGCAAAGGATAAATACATTTACAAATGGAGCATTGCCGTTTTATTGTCAAAAATGGTTATTGTTTGATAGTTTGTCCTCAGGCTGAAAGGGCTGGGTGTATAATGCTTTGGATTTTATTCTGGAAAAGTGTGTTGAAGCATAGAGAAGTCTTCCAGGACCCCACAAGTCATAAAAGGGCCACGTTTGAAGACCCCCTACACTGGACGGCTGGGAGGCTTAATTGTATTACACTATTGAGCACGATGGCTGCCATTTTTGCAGTCGTGATAAATGGCTTGTTGAGGGGTTTGTGTTTTGTTTTGGAGTTGTTTTTGTTCCTGGAAACTTGATTTGTTAAAAATCCTCAGATACTTTTAGACCATGCTTATTCCCATGTCTTTGTTGACAGAAGCACCGATGGTTGGTAACTGTCCTTCTAAAGTTCACAGGTATGCTAGACCAATGATGGCGAACCTTTTAGAGACCGAGTGCCCAAACTGCAACCCAAAACGCACTTATGAATCGTCGAGTGCCGGGGTGTGTGTGGCCCATTGGCTGGGTGTGGCCAGTTGGGTGGGCATGGCTGCAGTGGTAACGGCAGACTGGGTGGGACTAAAAAGTTCAATCAATCAATTCCAACTTTGCAAGATCTTTTTTTCCCCACAAGAAGTTGAAATTGACTTTTTTTTTTTTGCACATGGC